CCTTTACAAATGAAGAAACTGTATAAAAAGTGTCTGTCAGGAGCAACGAATCCATTAAAATATAGTACCGGAGTTAATGAACTATGGGGATTCTGATTACAAAATAGAATATAAATGTTAACAACTTTGATATTTAAAAAATAATGTAAATAAAACCATGGAGGTAGGAGGCACTATAAGTATAATTATTTCCCCATCCTTTATATTGTCCAAAGTTAAATGAGTAGTTAAAAAGTTAAAATGATAAGCATGCATATTTTGATTTTTTTTAATATTTTTAACATCTTTGGAGAATACTTTTAGATATGACTATATCTTGTAACAATGTTTAGCAATTTCCTTTTTTGGTTTTACTTCTGTTCTTTTTTATTATTCAGCCTAAACAATTAAATTTAATACTTTTAATTAAAATGGTATAATACAGTTTTTCTAAGATGATCTCTGGCTATACATACACATTAAGAGATGTCAAATAATATTTATAAAACATTAGAAGAAATTATTGTGTATGATAGATTTAGGGTTATTATTCAATTTTATTTTCATTTTTCTGCATTAGTTTATTTTAAAAGTATATAACATTTTATGAAACGAGTAAAGTTATAATTCTTCACTACAAAAAGCTGAAACCAAATATAAAATATATTGGAATGAATCCCAGAAGTTGGGCTCACAAGGACATTTATTACAAAACCCTCCAAGACATCCATTAGAATCTCAGATTTGTTTAGCAGGCACTTTTTAAATTCCTACTGTGTGATATGGTAGAAAGAAGTATAATTAAACACTGGTTTAGATAAATGAACCCGAATTTAAGGAACTTACATTTTAGTTAGGGGAAAATGTGAGAAATTAACACAAAACTAGTGGTAAGAGAGAATATCATTAAACACTTCTTTTAAATGTTCATCCATCCTCTGAATGCCCTGAAGACTGTGAGATGATAATGTACCAGGGTTATCTCAGAAAACGCCATAGGGGAGGTTTTAAAACTCCTTTGCTAAGATAAGGAGACAGGATATTAAAACAACTGATTAGACAAGACAAACATGTACTTCAAACCCCATTTTCCTTACCTTTCATCTCACTGGATATGGTTTCGACTGCCTGATTATTTGGTCGTCTAATATTTACTGTTGTAATAATTTTCAAGATATGTAGTATAAAGGAGCTCTTGTAGATATTGTTAGCATTTGATTTTATGCATATCAAAATAATGTTTGCTACTATGCACGATTAATAAATGGTAGCAGATTAAGGTTTTGTGTTTTACCATAAGATCATCAGAGAAATATTCTATAGATCCATTATGTTTTTCAACTGCACTCACTTTCCCCATGTTACCATGCTTATTCAATGAGATGGCTACTCAGATAAATACTCTGATTTTCACATATAGCCCTGGTTAAGAACAAACAAAACAAAGCACCTACGTCAAAAGTAATGGGTTCCTAGGCTGAGCTATATCTTTCTCTTAAGGATTTCAGGATCATGATCAGAACTGGAATGACTGAGGAATGCTAAAGCTCTTTCTATCATAAATGGATATATATAGTATGCTCCTAGCCCTCTCCAAGGAGGCTGGCATATGAAGGGATCTGAGGAGGGCTGTGGCGCATCCTTTACTACAGGGTGCTCAGGGAAACAGTGGGGTCCATTGTATGCTGGACTACACACATGAGATTCCAAGACCAGGTGAAACCTATGCCTTAAATAGGGTGAATATCCTGCAATTTGACAAATTAAGTAATTGCCAGAGACCAAAAGGAAGCACTTAGGGGAAAATTAAAAGTATTTCATACCCTGCTAGAGAAATTGCACAATGAAGATAAAAATTTAGATTTACACCCTGCAGTCTGATTGACTAAATTTCAGAATTACAAATTTAAGTTAGAAAAGAGTTTATAGCATTGTTTTCATTCAGAATGGTTTCAACAGGTTAAGGCTTATATACAGTTACCTCTACCTAGAAAAGGCAAAGAAGGTTAAAATCCCATTTCTGAAACTGTATGAATTAGATGTCTAATTCTGGCAGGAAAAATAGATAAGAGAGAGAACCAGCTCTCCCTGTCTGGTTGGCTAAGGTCTGTTGGGTGGGTTCATCTTTCTTTGCATTAGTTCTGCGGCTATAAATTGGTTCACAATGAATGACCTTTCCCAAGAGCACAGGATCATTTTTATTCAAGGGTATATAAGCAGCTGTTTACTATGCTGAAATTTATAGCATGCCTCATACATCCAAACTTAGTAGCCCATTCAGTTACTTATAAATAATTCATTCAAAATTTATTCAGTACCTGCTAAATAAGGGGGATATAATGGGTGTGGTGAGAACCTCAAAGATGGATAGGGAGGTCACTGTTCCCAAGGAATTAACAACTTAATGGCAAAGAGGGGAGAGCAAAATGTACATAAATGTGCCTTACAGAGTAAATAAATGCCATCCCGCCTCTAAAATGCTTCCGAGCGTATAGAATCTTTTATTGTGTAAGATTCTTAAGGTCATCGAACATCAAAAACATTAATTTCCAAAAGAGACATGGGTTACTGTCTGGATGGTTACATTTAAGACTCTTTCTTTCACTTTACATTTTTTTTTCATGTTTCATTTTACAGTACTGGGCATATATTGGAGGCTTAATAAGTACTACTGACTTTATTTCCACAAAATAAGCCACTTCACCCAGCTGCTTGCTAGGTCAGTCAGTTACTCACAGTTCTGGGCCAGTAGTCATCTTTAGTTTACTTCTGACAAATTTTTACTTTAATTGGCTTAATTTAAATCCCACCTTTTCCCTCAGTCTGTTAGATTCTAAAGGATCAGTCAGGAAATCTTATAGTTGCTCACTCTCTGTCTACGTGTAATGTGGACGTGTAACGTGCACTTTAACACCTATGGAAGGCTCCTGATGTCACAGAGAGCCATGCTGCTGCTCAGTGGTGCCTAGAGCTCTACAATATGGCCAGGTGATTTGACAGTCAGACCATATTCAAGATCAGTAGCTTAGACTTTGGACCTAGCTAGGCCTTAGCTTGTATCTTAGCTGTATCATTTATGGGTAAATCTCCTTAATCTTCTGGGCCTCAGTTTCATCAGCTAAAAAACGGAAATAATTCTACTGCACATAGTTGAATTAAGGACTAAATGAGATAACGTTTGTTGAAATACCTCTAGACCACTGCATTACATATGATTTTACTTTTGCATTCCTTCATTAATGTAGCTTTATGATTTTTACTGCTTTGTAGGCTAAAAGAAAGCAGGTGAAAAAGAACAATATGATCTCCTTTACCACCTTTTTAAATTTGTGAACACATCAGCTATACTATGACAATATAATTTTTAACATGTAAGGTGTTTACTGGTGTGTAAGACTTCTAGATAAAAATTAGATTGTGAGAGATCCTGACTGAAGACCTGAGTGCCGGAGAGGATCTGATTACCTAGTACACACTCTTGTTGACTTCCAATCCTGAAGTGAGCTAAGTAATTAAATGGGGTGGACCCTGTGCCTTGAATTTTCTTAAATTCATGATGTGACATTAACTTTACTGAGGTTGGTAGCAGACCACCTTCAACTGAAGGTCTCTGACTTTTAATTTACTTAGGGTATCATAACACGGCATTCTTTTTTAGGACATGTTTGACATATCATTCTCTCATTACAGTTTTGTATTTCAGTACTTACAGTTTTGTAAGTACTTTACTCATATTAAAGCCAAAAGGCTAAAAGAAAAAATAACAACATCAGTATATGTGTAAATGTGGTTATACACAAATACATATTCATACATTTTGGGCTACACAAAAACTATAAAATTATTTAGCCTTGGAAATAATGCAAACGAGGTAATTATACTACATTTAAGGAATTTAAAACAAAAATAAATCTGCTTCCTCAAAAAGATCTTACCTAAGGATATACAAATCCTATTCAAAGGCTTTTTATTGAAAGTACGTTCCTAGGATTTAGCATAATTCCTGATATACAGTAGGCAATCAATAAACCTTTACTAAAAAAATCAAAATAAGTGGGTCAAAATCTTGCTTGAACTTTACAAACAGATAAACTCTGCAAATAAGAACTACCCTAAGTTGCCAAGAAAATAAGTGGGAGGACCAGTAATAAAGTTCAGGTCAATAAACTTGTAGTTTCTACCAACCATTTTACAAAATGTTACAATGATCCAGGTCATTATCATTACCCTTACTCAGAGGTGAAACAACGGAGAGAGAGAAATGAAGCCATTATTAGGTCCAGACATCCAACAAGGCAGATTCAGCAGAGAATTGCAATGCTCAGCCTAGGATACATTTATTTTCGTCTTTTTAATTCTCATATTCCTTTTTCCCTCAGTGCTGCTGTTGAGTTCCTGATGAAAAGTTATCAGGCAGGAAATCTTCAGAAGAAAACTTGGTGCTGACTTGCAAGACCCATGGACTGTGTCTCCCACACTTCTAGGCAATTTTACACTTTTTTTCAGACAAACAACTACTGAGTATTTCAAGCAGCACAAATGAAAAGCAAGGTAGAACAGTTTTACTGCAGCGGACCCCAATGACAATGTACTCTCCAGTTCAATGAACTCTTTATAAAAGTTGTATTTTTTTTCTTCCAATACAGTATATTCCAATAAAGTGAAATCCAGTTGCAGGAACAAAATATTGTACATTAGATAGAATCATGACTTAGCAGATAATGACTTAAATATATATATATATCATTTTAAATCTCTCATCTTTAGCCTCTGCTTCATCCAGTGTCATTCACAAGTTTAGCAATATTTATGCAATATTTAATATTTAATAATCTTAATGCTTAAGATCATTCTGTTATAACTATGTTTCCTTATTTAGCACCCTTTTTGGTTTAGATAAATTGGGAAGATTTAAATTTTTTTTAATTTAACCATTAAAAACTGTTGAGATTTTCTGTAATTTCATTAAAAAAGATATAAATCTCTAAAATGTGAAATGTCATAATCTATTGAGCACTCACCTAAACCAGACTTTTTTAATCGTTTTAAGTGCTGACTTGTTTGTTTTCCAGTGGGAGATTTTTGTCCATGTTTCATTTCTTTATCTGAACTGTCTGCTTCACCATTTTTAGATTCGGATCCTAAAAAAGGAAATAGTTATTATGTCATCTTCCTCTTGCTGTCCTTGAAAAGAAAAATCTAAAATTGTTTTAGAAACTGTAGATACAATCTCCTTTTCTAAAAGTTAATTCACTACCTTTGGGCACAATCTGATTCCTCTACTGGATACAAAGAGAAAAGCCCAATAAATCAATCAATCAGAACAAAAAGCAAGAACAGATGGCCTAATAGTGGAGTCAAAAACACGTTCACTGATCTGATAGCTTTTCACTGATGTGATAGCTTTTAAAAGAAACACTCAGATCTTTTGTGAAAATACACGAATAAGCTTCAACAACAGTATATCATTTAGAGACAATGCAAGACAGAGACAGAAAGATGAAGGGAAAAAAGAGGCTTAAAGAGAGAAAGAGAGAGAGATCATACCTTTTATGTTGAAGAAGGAACAGAAAATGCAAACATCAGCCTATGATAAATAGAATAGTACATAGCTGATAAAGTGACAGAAGGTAAATTAGAAAAGGTCAGGGCTGCACTGAGGTGAGAAGAACGTTGCCAGAACACAAAAACTAATAAAGGATTCCTGATTTTGCAGCAGAGGACTGCAAAACAAATTCACACTCACAGAAGAACTGCTTCTGATGGCATTACACATCATCAGCATGTGGTCCACCGTTAAAGTTCAACATGCAAACAAAAGCCAAGCAACAACAAAAAAATCCACCTAGCAGTACCACACATTTTCTTACACCTATTGACATTAGAAAATGAAGTCCTTTGATGAGGAGTGAGCTGGTGCCTTTTTTAAAGAGAGAAATACCCCCCCTTTTTTTTAATCACTGAAAGAGTCAAAGGTATGAAAAAAATAAACAAAACCTCATGTGGAAATATTATTCAGTTGCAAAGAAAATTCATGACATCTCTCTCAGTGCGGAAGTTTCCTCTGGGAAGAAACTGGCCAAGCATACCATATTTTAGCTCTTTACCTGAAGGCGAATCCGACTGCTCATCAGACACCTTTAATGGTGTCAAAACAACGCGAGGAACAGTCTTGTTTACCATCATTGAAACTCCATTTCTTCTTTTCTGCTGCTGCCTCAAAGCCTACAAAACATGATAATAAAATATAACATAAGAATATAGCCAGAATGATGTCTCGTAATTGAATTAAATGACCCATTTGCCCATCATTAGATAGAACCTCTTAAAAGACTTAAATTTCACAGAGTTACTAATTTGTCAGGATTCTTAATAGCCACCTTCATGTCATTTTTCCTTCAAAAGCATAAAATCAGGCTTTGGGAAAGGGTATAAACCTGAGGCCATTTTTGGTATAATTCTGAAAATAAAGCAGCACTTAAAGGTCTGTTCTACCTTCGCAGTATGGCTTGAAAGCCCAAGGAATTTGAAACCATGACTCCCAAGTAAAATAAATGTAAAATAAATGTTTCGAGACCAGGATAAAAATATATGTGTCTGCACTTCTCTTGCAGGTGCGTCCTCTCCAGTGCACGGCTCAGTCAATCAAGTTAACACCGAGTGTCATCAGTATGTACAGCAGGTAAGGACTACAGTATTGATGCACTCACTCAGCCGTGGGGAGCGCTGCACAAAATCACTGAACATGGCAGGAATCATTTATTTCTGTGAAGGGAATCAGTCCTAATCTTGGAAACCTTGCAGCACTTGGCTTCTGTCTGCTTGACTTTGGGCATTAACCTTCAGAACACGAACATGACGGCGTTCTGGCAAATCCAGGAGAAAAAAAACTGATACAAGAATAAATCTCAACAAATGGGAGTGCTCTGTGTTTCATAAATGAATCAACCACGGTGATCGTAATGTAATAAAAGACATTTGAAAGTTTTGAAATACGGCTTATCTAGCTGATTACTTTACACTGAAAATTACCTGTAATAAAAAGGGTCTTAAGCACACAAACTGACAAGACATTAAATTCATTATTAGAGGAATGCTAAAACTCCTCAAAAGGTTAAAAGGCTGACCACAGACAGTCTTAAACCTTTTTATTCCTGGTTTCTGTGTAATTTCTACCAATTTTATAACATCTTAGTTACTTGATTAATGTTCTTTGACCAAGAGTTGTCACAATCTCCTGAAATACTGCATTGACTATATATCCCCTTGCTCTCAGGAATTATGCCATTCTATTTGCAAAGGGTATTAGCTGAATGTCCAAATTGTTGACCATAAGATTTAGCAAATTATTACAGAAGTGAAAAATTAAATACCAGTTAAATGAAAGAAGGCACATTCAGGTGAGATTCAAAATCACATGGGAAAGTGAATGGCTTGGGAAATCTATTACAAATAATTGTGTTGCTAATGATAACATACTCACAGGACATCCTCCCTTCAGTTCTTAGATTTATTGAGCTTTTATAAAGTCCCAGGCACTAGATCTCATCAAGATGGCAGAGTACGTAAGCACTGTGCTTATCTCCTCTCACGACCATATCAAAATTACAGCTAAACTACAGAACCACCATCATTGGGAATCCCCTAAAGTTTAGCTGAACCGAAGCCCTACAACTAAGGACATATAGAAGAAACCACTTCGAGACTGGTAGGAGGGGCGGAGATGTGGAACAGGCTGGTCACCTGTGTGTTGGGAGGAATATCTCAGCTGCAGAGGTCCCCCCTGGAGAAGTGAGAGCTCCCAGCTCCATATCAGGCTCCCCAGTCCAGGGTTCCAGTGACAGGGAGATAAATCTCCATAACTTCTGGCTGTGAAAACCAGTGGATATTTTGGCTTAATGAGATGGAGGCCTGCTGGTGTTCCAGGTGGTCCTCTTATGGGGCCTGGGCATGGACTTACTGATGAACTCACTTGCTCTGAGCTCCAGCACTGGGGCAGCTGACCAGGGACATACAGAGAGAAACTGGGTTGTCTGGCTTCAGAGTGAGGGTTGGAGGGGCAGCTTTCTTCCAGGCAGAAGAGCTGGCAGAGTCCATTGTTTCTTTGTTGAGCTGCCCCCCCTCCCAGTGTGCAGACACAGGTGGCCGCCATATCTGAGTCTCCATCGACTTGGCTAACACTGTTCATTCACTTGATTCCCAGAGACCCTATCCCACCCAACTTTTGTCCCTACCCAAGCTGCTTCCAGTGGCTTTTCTGTATAAATGGTTTGTCTTGGCTCATGTTGCAGACTTTCCTAAAATCTCTCAAAGGTTCACAAAACCGAAACAAGCAGCATCTGACTTCAGCATTGTTCCATACCTCTGGCTGAACAGTCCTAAGTCTAGCAATAGTTATAGCCAACCTTGGTTCATGACTTGGCCTCTCAAGATACCTCCAAACCCTGCATGAGAGGTGACCATCTGTGCATTGCTCTGTGGCTCATGCAAGGTAGTCCCAGGCAGGGCACAGGCTGTGGCTGAACTTGGCCTGCAGTGGGGCCCCTGCCCAGGAGGCCCCAGGGGTGGAACACCTGGTGCTAGCTTCGCACAGAACGAGAGCATCACCCGGTTACCTTCAGGGATGGCACACCCAAAGGGCACACTGGGCAGGCACCAGAGCCCTGCTAAAATGAATCCTACTCCATAGGGTCAACCCCAGCACAACAGACCCTCCACTGTAGTCAGGGTCAGTCCTCATAACCAATCAGCCCCATTGACATGCAAACAGCAACCAAGGCTCAACTACAACAGGAAAGTACACACAACCCAAACAAGAAACATACCTAGAGTACCCAGTTCAGCAGGAATACTGCACCACTGAGCCCCACAGCACACCTACTACATAAGACCACTTTATTAAGACTGGGAGACATAACAGCCCTACCTAAGACATACAAACAAGCACGGGAGGTATCCAAAATGGAGAGACAAAGAAATACATCTGAAATAAAAGAGCAGAACAAAGCTCAAAAAAAAAAGAATTAAACAAAATGGAGACAAAGCAATCTACCAGATGCAGAGTTCCAAACACTGGTAATAAGGATGCTCAATGATCTCAGGGAGAACTTCAACAAAGAGATAGGAAACATAAAATTGGAGGCAGAAAACATAAAAAAGAAGCAGTCAGAAATGAATAATATAATAATGGAAATGAAGGATACATTAGAGGGCAATTTACAATAGATTAGATGAAACAGAGGACTGAATCAGCGATTTAGAAAATAAGGTAGCAGAAAACACCCAAACGAAACAGCAAAAAGAAACCAAAAATTAAAGATAGCTTAAGTGGCTTCTGGGACAACATCAAGTATACCAACATTCACAGTATAGGGGTACCAGAAGGAGAAGAGAGAGGGCAAGAAATTGAAAACCCATTTGAAGAAATAATGATGAAAACATCCCTAAGCTGGCAAAGGAAATGGACATTCAAGCCCAGGAAACACAGAGAGTCCCAAACAAGATGAAGCCAAAGAGGCTCACACCAAGACACATCATAATTAACATGTCTAAAGTTAAAGACAAAGAAAGAGTCTTAAAACAGCAAGAGAAAAGCAGTTAGTTACCTACAAGAGACCTCCCATAAGACTGTCAGCTGATTTCTCAACAGAAACTTTGCAGGCCAGAGGGACTGGCAGAAATTATTCAAAGTGATGAAATGCAAGGGCCTACAACCAAGTTACTCCGCCCAGCAAAACTATCATTTAGAATTGAAGGACAGATAAAGTGCTTCTCAGACAAGAAAAAGCTCAAAGAGTTCATCACCACCAAACCAGAATTATTAATATAAGGAATCTTAGAGGGATTTCTTTTAGATGAGAAAAAACAGAAAAAAAATATGAATACTAAAATGGCAATAACTACATATCTATCAATTACTTTCAATATAAATGGATAAATGTTCCAATCAAAAGATACTGTGAATGAATGGATAAGAAAACACGACCCTTACATATGCTGCCTACAAGAGACTCACTTCAGATCAAAAACACACACAGAATGAAAGTAAAGAAATGGAAAAAGGTTTATTTCATGAAAATGGAAACAAACAAAATGCTATTATAGTAATACTTATAGTAGCCAAACGAGTTTAAAACAAGGCCTATAACAAGAGACAAAAAAGGACCCAGTAATCCCACTTCTGGGTATTTATCTGAAGAAACCCAAAACACTACTTTGAGGGGACATGTGCATCCATATGTTCACTGCAGCATTGTTGACAATGGATGAGATGCGGAGGCAGCCTGGGTGTCCGTCAAAGGATGAATGGATAAAGAGTAGGTGGTACATATACACAATGGAATATTACTCAGCCATGGAAGAGAATGGGTTCTTGCCATCTGCAGTGGCATGGATGGACCTGGAGGGTATTATGCTGAGTGAAGTATGTCAAGCAGAGTAAGACAGATGTAATTTGATTTTGCTTATATGGGATTCAAAAGAACAAAATAAACAAACAGACAACAGAAACAAACTCACAGATATAGAGAACATTTTGATAATTGCTAGATGGTAGAGGGGTGGAGAATGGGTGAAAAGGGGGAAGGAATTAAGAAATACAAATTGGTTGTAACGAAGTAGTCATGGGGATGTAGGGTTTAGCATAAGGGATACAGTCAATAATATTGTGATAACTATGTATGGTGTCGGATGGGTACTACATTTATTGGGGTGATAAATGAAAGTGGAGTTGAGGGCGGAGTGAAAAAAGTGAAGGGATTAAGAAGTACAAATTGGGCTACAAAATAGTTATGGGGGATGTAAAGTAAAGCATAGGGAATTTAGTCAATAATATGGTAAGAACCATGCATAGTGCCAGGTGGGAACTATATAAATGTCTAACCATTGTGCTGTACACCTGAAACTGATATAAAATAATACTGAATGTCAACTGTAATTGAAAAAATAATAAAAAGGAGAGGAGAAGTAAAGGGGAATAAGAGGTTCAAATTTCCAGGTATAAAACAAATAAGTCATGGGGTTGTAACATACAGCATGGAGAATATAGTCAATAATATTGTGATAGTGTGGTAAAGTGTCAGATAGTTGCTGAACTTATCATGGTGATCACACCTTTAGGCATATAAATGTTGAATAACTATTGTGTACACCTGAAACTAGTATCATAGTATCTGTTAGCTCTATTTTAACAAAAATATTTTTTTTAAAGTTTTAAAAATCCAACA